ATGTGACCCCTGAGGAACAGATCCTCAAACGACCTTAAGAGTAAAATTAAACTGGTTTATCTGGGCCAACTGTATGGTCTTAAACACCCAAGAGGAAAGTATAACCAAAGATTAAAGGGGCCAATATAATTTCTTAAGAATCCATATGCATAGCTAAAGGCTACATAACAAGAAAGCAACAATGCCAAACAGGCGATACCTTCTTTTGAGTTGTTGGCCAGGGTGGCCAAAGGGACTCCCAGATAGTAACTCAGCATAGAACTGGGAAAATGAACATCAGACCCCAATCTTATCTAAAGGAATATTGACAACCAATTACTGCTAGATGAGGAACAGCTGACCCTCCTAAAACAAAGACCTCTAGATAAGTCTAGATTCACCAGATGCACAAGTAGTCGGGAATGGCTGGGGGTGCTGACAACACAGCAGACAGCAGCAGGGATATCAGAGTATAAGGGCTCTAGTTGGGGGAGGGAGGCTATGGGAGGGTGCCATCTGGGAAGTGGGTATATAGCTGAATAAGGTGGTTTGGGATGTTCTGTGTGATACACACACAAAAAAATTAACAAATTTAAAAAATGTATTTTATTTGAGGAGGAAGCATGGAAATTTACGTCATGCTAAGTGGTAGAGGTGATAAAATTACCATTGAAATCTACCTGATGAGTTTATAGACATACACAGATGCCAATGATCCAAGTGCAATTGATTATGACTAGTAATAATCAGATATAGATTAGAGATGCATGCACCAACATCTCAGTGTTAGTAGCAAAAACAATGAGTCTTTCTGCAAGGAACCATATATTCTAAAATGAAATGGAGATCTTTTTTAAAGGTTAAAAGCTCATTCAATTTTGTGTCTTACAGGGCTTAGTATACTGAGTTCAATACTATATAACTGTATTAATTCACTTGTGAACCTAGAAGCTTGCATCCACTTGTGAAAGAGATGTACTCTTGCTCTGGAGTGTGTTACTGAATATGTTAAAGTTGTAATGAAATGATTCTTCTAATCATGTAGTTATTAAAAATTTTTAAAAATTACTTGATGTTAAATAGTAAAGGTGATAAACATTACCAGAGAAATCTACCTGATGACTTTATATTCATACTCAGGTACTAAGGATCCGAGTGTAACCGACTGTGACTAGTAATAATCAGACACATAGAGATTAAAGACACATGTGCAAACATGTGTTAGTAGCATTAAAAATATAGGAAACAGCAGATCTTAAAATGAAATGGAGATCTTCTTTAAAGGGCAAAAACTCAATTTTATCTCTTACAGGGTTTATACTGAGTTCAATATTGTATGACTGTATTAATTCAACTGTGAACCTAAAAATTTATAGCCACCTTTGAAAGAGATGTATCCTTGTTCTGGAGTGTGTTACTGAATATGTTAAAGCTGTAATGAAATGCTCCTTCTAATCATGTGGTTATTAAATTAAAAAATAATAAATTGAGAAAAAAAACCTGTAAAAAAAAAATCTAGTGAGTGCCACCAACCAGCGAGCACGGCTTGTTGGTCTGGCTCAGATCCTCCCGGTGAAAGGGCAACTTCCACATCCGTGTGCCTCTGTGAGCCAAGCTGCTTCTTCTCAGCCTCCGATGAGATTCCTGGGGATCAGAGTCACCCAGAAGTGCATCTGTGACTGGTGAGCAGGGCAGTCAGCAGAACCCCATGCCCAGAGAAACGTACTTATTAATAGAATTTTTGTGGCTCTTTGGCTGGGCCATACTGGCTATGGGGCAAGCTGAACCTGCGTGTCCTTCCTCAGCTGCCTGTGGTTCTAGGAGACTGACTTCCTGACTTTCCATGTAGAACTTTCCAGTGCTAGATAGAGACTAAACCGAGGCTCCAAAGCAGACCCTGGCTCTGAGAGTTTGTGAGTTTGGCCCTGTGTGGGTGGAAGGATGTAGGGTGGTATGTAGCTTGGATGTTCTAGCAGTATCCAGCCCTGCCAGGTTCTGAGGACACTGTGAAGATCACAATGAGCACAGGGGCGGCAAGGCCCTAAGGCTGGGCACCCCTCTTCTTTTTTGGGACTTAACCCCAGGGGCATGGCTGGTCCCATTCCACAAGATGGTGTGAACAGAAACTGGCCATTGATGGTTTCAAAAGGGCCAAGATCCGCCCAATGGTAAGAGCATTCCCACGGTTCCTCATCCCCAGGACAGTATTTATGCTCTACACACCAATCCCCCTCAAGGCTTAGATTTCAGAGCCAACATGGGTCTCCCCTGCCAGAGAACCCCTGTCTCCACAAAGCCCCCATGTGACTAGCCAGTTTGGGTCCTGTGTCCCAATAGATTTGGAGATGTTTCCTGCTAGGCTGGCAGTGCCTAAAGCTATGAGTCACCACAGCTCCCTTGAACCTGCCTGCTACACAGGCCCCAGCACCTCTTACCCCCACATCAAAATGATACAAGAGGTGAGTGAGGTCACTGCCTCCCACAGGGACATAGAGAGGCTGAGGGAGATGTCCCAGGGTCCCCAAGTTAGATGTGGCCCTTGGCTGCCCCCTGTTGGCCCCAGGACATTTGAACAAAACCCCAAGCCCAGGAGGCCAAAGGGGGTGTGAAGGTATAGTACAGGAAGGCAGCAAAAGGGCCTGAAGCCATCATAGCTTGAACGGGAGCCCACAGTCCCTGCATAAGAACAAAGCCTGGATTCCGGGGCACAGTAGGACTTTTGCTCACAGCTGTACTCCCAACACCAGCTAGCTCCTATATCCCCTGCTGGCCACAGAGGGCCTGGGGCAAGGGATTCCTGCTGGGTCACTTCAGGGGGCCATGATACCTTGCTTCCCATCTTGGTCACCTAGGTCAGCTTGATGGACCTCCAGGTGGGGACAGTGTCCTTGGACCTCACCCTCTTGCATCATGACAGCTGCTGCGGCCTCAACCTGTACAGGAGACCTGCACCAAACCTGAAAATGCGGCTGGTGCACACACCTGATATGACGGCGCAAGGCGGATGGAAGGATCTTCTGCACCGGAGCCTCAGCCTGCAGCACCACCATACCTCCCCGCCACCCCCAGCTCCAGAATCTTCTGTAGAGTCTACAGAAACGGTGCGTCCCTAAGAAGAAAAACTGGCAGAGGAGCTCAGGATTGATTCTCACGCAGGTAGCCCGAGAGCACAGCATCTCCGCAGCCAGCACCGAGCTCTTTACGCGTGGGGCGCGGCAACTCCCCATGCGGGGGTGGGGTGGGGGCGGGGCTTGCGACTGCGACACCCGCCTCGGCACCCGCACCGGGGACCGGCGGGCCCCGCTAGCCCCTCCCCAGCCTCCGCCCGATTTCCACGCTCCCCTGACCGCCGCGCCTCGCGTCGAGCTAGTCCAGCGGCCGGCGGTGCCTGCGGGCGGCCTTGTAAGGCAGCGGCGGCCTCTAGACTCCACCGCTCCGGGACCGGGCGGGGCGGCGGTGCGCGCGGGGCGGGGCGGGGCGGGCGGGTCTTGGAGCGGGGCGGGGCCCGAGCGGCGCGAGCTCAGCGCTCCCGGGCGCGCGTCTAGTCCGGGAGGCACCGCAGTGGACGCCTCTCCCAGGTAAGAGAGCGCTGGGCGCTGTCCGTGGTCCGGGGCGCGGCTCGAGGTCCCGGCCGCAGGACGCCACGGGGCCGCGCGGCTGGCCACCTTCCACGGTCCGCGGCGCCTGAATCTGCTCCGGTCTCAGACGCTCGGGCTCGTCGGGAACCGCGGGGCCTCAGCGTCAGGGAAGGGTCTGAGCGTCGCCACTGAATGCGACGGACGGAGAGCGCTCCACGGCTCCCCACCAGCCTCCGGCCAGGCCTCGGCAGGCCCAGGGTCACTGCCCGTGGGACCCGGGGGTCCGGCGTGCGACGAAACCACCGCCCTGCGCTGCGCCCGAGGAGCGCAGGAGCTGCCGGCGCGTCCCCGTCCCCGTGCCCGGGTCCTGCGCGCGTCGTGTCCGCAGGTGGCTGCGCCTGTCGGCTCCGCCCGCGATGAGGGGCTCTGTGGGGACCCGCCTTGCACGCCCGGGTTTGCGAGCGTGAGAGGGAGGATCCGACCCTTACTCCGCGGTTTCGGTTATGTAAACCGGACAGTGAACCAGGTGAGGAAGCCGCGTCGCGCCCTTCGTGGCGTGGCTTTGGGATAGGCTCGGTCCTCTCCCGGAATCTGCCTTGTGCTTGGCCTGGGTCCCATGATGGCGTTCCGCGTGGCGCCCACTTCGCATCTCCCGCCCGGCTTGGCTGGGTAGGTGACCTGTATGGGCGGCGCGAACCCTCCGGGGCGAGGGCGTGCGGGGGGCGGGGGGCGGGTGAAACCATGCCAGCTTAGCCTTCGGCTGGGTTCCCTGGAGGCTGTCGCAGCTCGCGTGCCAGACCCTCTCCCATCACGTGACCCTGGTAGATTTGGCGAGGGGGAGGGGTGCAGGGTGCAGCCAGTGTTCCACGTCGCTAGAAAGGCTGGTGATTTCCACAGGGTCCACCGCTCGAAAAGGTGCCCTAATTCAAGTGGCGTGTGAAAATTCTTGTCTTTATTGAATGGCGACACGCGCAGGCGGCGCGGTGAAGACATGGGCTGTGCGTTTTCTGGTGCTCCTTTGATCCATCGTCTCAATTCTTCGGGTTGTGGTAGATAAATAGTTTTAACTAGTACCTAAGGTTATAAATATTCATTTTGGAAATTTTTCTAAGCCTTAGAAATTTTCATTTAAGAAAATCGAAACCACCGTAGACGAGGGGTGGAGGTTTGGGAGAAATCTGCAGACTGGGGCCCTGCTGCCAGGCAGCTCCGCCGGGCTGCAGGGAGGCTGAGAACTTGAGTCCTCGGCAGAGGCTGCTGTTCTATTTATAGTGTGCACGTGAGCGAGAAGCCTGTAGGAGGTGTGATTCCAGGTCTGCCAGCATTAAGGTCCCTTGCAGACGTGTTCAGCCCCTTTCCCTCACCCAGCAAGGCTGTGCCCAGGAACCCCATGAAAGAAAATGGAACTTCCCACCTCCTACTGGAAGGGGAGGGTTGGGGTTGCCCAGCCACAGCTCAGACATGGCTGCCATCCTCCATCACCCCCATGGGCTCTCCTGTTGCTGACCTATCCTGGCAAGACCAGCTTGCCGGGGAAGAGGAGGCACAGTGTTCTGACCTTAGTATACACTTAGTGTTCAGGGCTCCCCCGTCCACAGCACCCCCCCTACCTATAGCACTTCCCACTCAAGACATACCTCACTCATGACATCCCCACCCATGGCAGCCCCATCCATGACCTACAGGAGTCTCCCAATGGTATCCTTCACCAACGGCATCTCTAACTCAGGGCATCCTTACCCAGGGCAGCCCCACCCAGACCCACAGCATCCCAGACCCATAGCATCCCTCCAGAGTACCCTTCACCCCTCCAAGTCCATGTGCCCCCCACATCCCACCTCTGCAGAACTAGGAGAGCCTACTCCTAGTGTCCCATGTCAGTCCCAGGAATAGCTTTGCAAAGTGGCTTGCTGGGGTCTGGGAAAGCATAGTCTCTGCCACCTGCAGCCTAGCATTGTGTCATCCACAAAGTGGCTTGCTGTTATCAGGGGAAAGTCCATGCCATTTCCTGATGGAGAATGAAACCTGTTTGGGTCCATGTTCCCCTTTATCTATACAGTGATGTAACTCAGCTGTAAGCTGTGATTCTCAGTGTTCAAATGTGAGGCTTTACTTTTTCAAACGAGTGTGAGGGAGGTTTATGAAACTCACCTCAGCCTCTTTCCTACTTGCTAAGCTCAGTTGGCCCCACCTCTGTCAGACGCTTGGCTCCTGAAGGTCCCTCCCACAGGGACCCTGCTATGGTACTGCAATTTCAGTTTCCTCCTGGCAGCCATTCCCACTGCCCTTTGTCCTGTTGTGGGGAGTGTGTGGGTGGAGGGGTCTTGTTAATTTCATCACATAAGCATATATCCCTGAACACTGGCTTAGTTGTACTTGTATTTTTGACCTTTACACATATGAAATCATATAACTACTATTCTTTTGGGCTGGCCTCTTTGACCAGTCCTAGTCCGAGGGAACTTAGCCACCCCGCTAGTCTTCCATTCTGCAAACCTCTGCCGTCAGCCGTCTTTTGCTTGCTTCCCTTTTTTGGAGAATTAAGAATAAAGCTGCCTAGGACCTTCCTGTAAACTCAGAGGCTCCTGTAGAACTGCGGTTGTTGGGCCTCAGATTACGTGCACCTTCCGATTTAGGGAGCAGGGGAGCAGATCTAGAGGGTCTCTTGGGTTGTCTTCCTTGCATGGTGTTCTGTGCTCTGCATATCCTGCCAGCATGGGCCACTGTTAGTCTTAAATGTCCCCATCCCGGAGGAGATGTCTGGTTTAGGGTTTGCACTTTGCTGGTTATACCAGCAAAGCCTAGTACCTCTCATGTTCTCCGTCACCTGGACTGAGTCTTTTGTTCTCTTGTGTCACCCTGTTTTTTCTCGTTGACTGTAGAGGATA